CGATCCCGAAGTCACTGTTGCCATCATCGAAGCCGGAGATTCTGGCTACGATAACCCCAATGTCTCATATGTACCGAGGTCTATCTTGGAGTACGGCCTCTTCATCGGCACGTCGATTGACTGGAAGTACATGACGGCACCTCAGAAGTATGCTGGGAACCGGAGCGTGAACTACTGGGCAGGCAAGGCTTTGGGAGGCAGTACTACGGTCAATGGAATGACGTACATCCGCGCGGAGAAAGAGCAAATTGATGGGTGGGAAGGGCTTGGGAACGAGGGTTGGAACTGGAAGAGCCTGCTCGAATACTACCTAATGCAAGAAGGGTTTACAGAGCCGAGCGAGGAGCTTTCGAAGGAGGGCGCGACCTTCAGGGACGGGGTACATGGAACGGAGGGAGAGCTTGCTGTTGGCTTCACCCCATACTTGGTCCGTCAAGGCTTCGCCAAATTGTTCGCGGAGACCTCCCAGGCGATGGGTATTCCTTACAATAAGGAACCGAACAACGGTAGTATGCGCGGTTTCGACGTGTGGCCTATGACACAGAATGTGAGTGGGCCTACGAGGGCAGATGGAGCAAGGTCCTTCTACTTCCCTGTTGCGTCACGCCCGAACCTCCAGGTCTTCTTCAATACTACTGCTGCACGCATCACCTGGAACGACGAATCATCCGAGACGTCAGAAGTGGTGGCCTCGGGAGTTGAGGTGATCGATGCGGGAAATGTAACGAAAACTATCGGTGCCAACAAGGAGGTCATTGTCGCAGCCGGCGCCATTCGATCACCGGCATTCCTTGAGCACTCAGGTGTAGGTAATCCCGCCATACTTGAACCTCTCGGTATCAAGACTGTCAACCCACTCCACTCGGTCGGCTCCAACCTGCCAGATCAACCACAGCATGGGATGGTCTTCAACTCGTCCACGAATTGGACGGGCTACCCTACCTTCGTTACATTCTTGACAGCTTCTGATCTCTTTGGTGAAGAACTTCCCGCTCTTGTGGAAGAGCTCCAAGCCAATGTGAGCGCTTATGCTGCAGCGATTGTCGCAGACTACGCGCCCGATACCATCTCCGTCGAGACGCAAGAACGGCTTCTGCAACATCAAGTAGACCTAGTCTTCACTGCTGAGAGCGATGTTCCTTTAATAGAGATCCTCTGGGCCCCAACAGGAAAACAGATCATTGCGCAGCTCTGGGATCTAATACCGCTTTCTCGAGGCTCAATACACATCGAATCCGCCGATGCAACCATACCACCACGTATCGACCCAAACTTCTTCCAGATGCCCATCGACATGTATGTCCAAGCAGCTGCTGCAATCCGTATCCGCGAGTATTTCGCCACTTCGCCGCTCGCGGAGGACGCTACAGGCGAGGTCTCTCCCGGTTACGAAGCGGTACCGCAAGGTGCTCATTGGAGGGATCAAGTCTGGGACGACTGGATCACAGGCGCCATGAACGGCAACTCGCATCCCGTGAGTACTTGCGCAATGATGAGTAGGGAGCTGGGCGGTGTGGTAGATACGGAGGGCAAGGTTTACGGGACGCAAAACGTCCGGGTTGTGGATGCGAGTGTGTTCCCGACTCAGATCTCGGGCCATCTTAGCGCCAGTGTATATGCCATTGCTGGAAAGATTGCGGACGCGATGAAGCAGAAGGGGTCGGATGAGAAGAAGTTTTGACAAGACTTTTCCTTTGTAGCGCTTCTGATGTTGGCGGCGTATTGCTATCACACTGTAAAAGTCCCGGATTGGATGGGTCTTCGCCTGCTCCAGATTAATCGAGAGCTGCGTCGGTGAAAATGATACATGGGTAGCGCAAGATAAGTACAGATTTCAATTTGATTGAGAAGCGTGTACTGTTCTTTGTTGAAGGTGATGCTCCCTCCTGACAGGCGATCGGAAAAGGGATGGTGATGCACTGCCCCACTTTTCATTCCAGGGCAGCCGCCCCGCGTCATCGACCTTTAGGCAAGAGCCGTGCGCTTGGGTATGACGAGCCCACCACAAACTCCCAGCCTTCGCTATCCAATATCCAGCTGTGGTCCTCAAAGCCGACGCGAAAGCATAATGCCATCGTTCATGGGCCTTCCGCGTGAACTACGTGATCAGATATGCGAATACGTCATACTTTCGCCAGCCCGGCAGCCACGAGTGCTTAATCAGACAACCGAAGAGATTCTTGAAGGATACACGACTTATGAGTTTCCGACGCCGTTCGTGCGACCGGGTCCATCGTATCAGCCCCAGGCAATCGTCTCGAATTCGACGAGATTACTGCTAGTCAATCAACAGCTGAGAACGGAGACAACGGAGATGCTACAACGAATGCGAAGTATTGTGTACGACCTCGATCTTGTAATGACCGACAATGGGATATTGGCAGCGACGTGGATCAATGTTCCAGTTTTGTCGACCAGAATTGAGCATCTGAATGTCACACTTCGCCTCTGTGTGACAAACGATAGCGAACGACTGAAGTCTGAAATTGAAGACATGTTAGGGGCGCCGGCAAATCCAGGACCTGAAGATTTCTTTGGGCTAATACCTAAGCAGTGTAAGGAAAGCCTTTCCTCTATTAGTATCAGTACTACATAATAACCACTCACCTCACTGTTCTAGTGGTATGGGGCTTCTATGGCATACTCAACCGATTCACCCATGTTGGGCCTCTGGGCGAAAGGAAGAGCGACAGTGAACACCGGCAAATATCCATCAGAACGATCAGCATCAACGTCGAGACACCATCTCCCGATCTTGCGCAGCTCGGTCTGATTCATATGTCCGCTCAGGCCGACGCTGCAATGTCGGTTACTTCCCGGTACTTCTTGGTGTGTCTGAATTGGACTATACAACAACAGCTGGAAGGTAATTGGGAGTATATCCGGGGCATCACTCTGCTTGAGTACGTAGATCATGTTTTAATCTATCACGACGACAATGAGATACATCGCTGGGATGTAGCTGCGTGCCTTGCAGAGTATCCTGAAGATGAAATGATCAAGTGGAGACCAAATGGCAAGAAAGAGGTTTGGCGCAGAAGGAAGCAAAGAGGACTGAAGGTGCCCGAAGACTTCAAGGATCCGGCCGGATGGTGATACCAGACCGCAAACGCGGGGAAGTTGTTGATGTATGGAATAGTCTTTTGAAGTTTCGTAGTAACGGCCCAAGACCGCAGCCAAATGAGAACCGCTTTTACGCAACCACTTCATGTAACAAGTCGTGGCTTAGCAAGGCTAACATGCAAGCCGCTGTTGATCATTTCCATACACGATCAACAAACATTTACCAAACGTCTGCTTTCTCTTGCAATGAAACTGAATTCACTATTCGTACTTCAGCTCACTCTTTCTACTGCTGATCGACCAATCTCGACAAATAAGCCCGAAGCGGTAATCCGAAAAAATGACACTTGTTGCGCTAGACAACATGCGGTTAGTGACCTCGAGGAATCAACTATATTGGGATAGCGATCTACGAGGCCTGGGGCTTGACTGTGCTTGATGTTGTTTGGCATCTATTTACTGGCAAGGCTGAGTCTCGAGAAATACGCCCGTTTTGGAGATAGCTGGGGGCCTGGAACAATATGCGCGGTTTATCAAAGCAGCTCCGTATTGTGTTGAGCGTGACGCTCGAGATACTTATATCTAGTGCCAGACCACTCATCGCAAAGCAACATAAGCTCGATACCATACTGTCATGATGCCATTAGAACCTCTTCCATATCAGAGCCACTCTTTCGACCGGCCGCATCGAGCACTTGGTTCATACAGCGCTGCACCGTTACCACCGACTAGCTTGTCTCCACCGGATGATGAGTTGTCACATCACGCAATAGATTGGACACCTTGCATACCAAATCCAGTTCAGCCACGACAATCTCTTCAAGTGAGCCACTCTTCAAACGTCGCCAGTAAGCCTTGCTGACCTGTCTAGAAACCCGTCGTGATACCAAGACTCGATGCGAACGGTCTACTTGGAACACCGTTCCCATTCATACGAGCTTACAGCCCCGATCTGCGCCGCTTCGACATCCATGAGAGAGATCTTGTAGCATTCATCGATGATCTCAGTGTCGCTCAAGCTCCGCCAGCCCCGCTTCAGGCGCTTGATGTAGCGGGTCATGTGGTTGGCATCGTGTGAGTTGACTTCTCTTTCTGGCTCTTACTGGTTTCTCATACAAGTGCTAGACCACATCATTGGACCATGATTGCCGGCGCCAGCATGAACGTGGCCGCCGGAGTTGGAACGGCTGCTACGACCACTGTGCGGACGAGGCGCTTCTTGGAGGCTGTGAACCGAGAATACTTCGCGCCTCGTGGTCTGAAGGCTTCGATTTGCAAGAACAGACAGTTGGAAGAGAAGATTGGCTGCAATGTGCACATGCCATCGTCGGCGTAAGTTTAGCCCTGCCATAGGGTTTCCCTGTTTCTGACTTGGCAAAGAGTGCTAGGAAGCAGCTCCCGGCCTCAAACAGCTGGATACCGCCGTTTGCAATCACTCATGCCGTATATCGCACCGCTTTCATTCAACGTTCCGCCGCCAATAGAGCAGCGAAGTGCTCTCGATAGAATGGCTGCGAAGCAGATCAAACGGCGGATCAAGAAGAAAGAAGAAAAGGGCTACAGGTCAGACTCAAGCTCTGGTTCTTTGTCCAGAACCAGCTCCAGTGGAGAGTCCACCCGGAGATCTCATGAGGAGGTCAACGGTGAACAAAAGAGAAGGGCAGATAAAGCGGAGCGCAAACGAGCCAAGAAAGAAGAGAAGAAGGCACGAAAGGAAGAGAGGAGAACTCAGAAACAGGACCGGAAAGGGACCAAAGCTCATGTTAAGGAGGGTAAGAAGTTGGAGAAGGAGCAGAATGTGGTCGAGAAGATGGAGTATATCATCATTGAGTCGCTGAATGAGGGGATGTAGTGATAAAGAGACTTCGTTGACTTGTCACGAACGCCTGTGTTTATGCGACAAAAGGGTTCTTCTACCTTTTTACTTTACTACAACCTCACTTGCGAACATCTAGGATGCTTTTCGCGGATCTCCAGGGCCCTCGTCTACCAGCCGACATGTCTTGCATGACAGATATGATCCATGATGCTATTGTCGGCTCCTTCTCGCGGATCCCATCGTATGCCATGCGCAGAGGAAAGAGCAGTTCAAAAGAGCCCTGTTCGCCCCAGTCCTCTAGCTGATGGTACTCGACGCTACGACATATAGTGAGCGCCGCCGTCGATATCTGCTCCTGTCGGGTATGGTACGCTGAAGATGACATCATCTCAGCATCGATGCTGTCGGCGAAGCGGAGGGCCATGATGGTAGCGGCGTTATAGACTGTGATAGCGTTCGCGTGATAGAGTGATCGGTATCTGAAGGCAGTAGACCAGGCTGGATGCAACGCGCCATACTCGTCTTCTATGAGCGGTATCGGTTGACATGCGGGTGTCTCGTAAGAGGTGTGAAACGGATCAGACGCAAAAGTCTCCCTCCAGTTTTTCAGTTTGGCGATGACCTCATGACATTGCAAAGAGAGACATTGCGTCTCAGCAGTCCTTGTGTCTTCATCCGCAACTGACAAAAGCTCATCACGCAGAATGAAGAGCTGAGGGTAGTCGGCAATAATGTCGAACAAGAGCTTGAGCGAGTCGATGTGCTCAGGGTGTAAGCTCCAGGGGATATATTTCCATTTATTCTCCGACATTATCGTTGGCTTGTGCAAGACAATAGCTGCAAAGATAAGAGACGGGCGAATCCTATCCAAGATCCCAAGACACTGAGGTGATGCCATAGCTTCAGGTCCGCGCAACTCGAAGAGCCTTTCTAGCCCACGTGCATGGTTTATCCAACCATCGACACGATCCGAGATGAGGAACTAGTAGCGGTTAGAAAATGTGTGCACTGCAGAACGTTTGATGTACCTCGATGAGCCCCATAAGCATGACCGCCTCAATCAGATCAAAGGAAGGCGGAGACACCGAAGCCTCAAGAGCCGAATGCACGGCTCTAAGTGCGTCACTGTACCTCTTGAATCCGTACTGCGTGATAGCTCTATCCTGGTGCTTGATGCCGAAGTAAGAAGTCGCAAGCGCAGAAAGTGACTTGATGGTAATAACCCCAGGATTGAACACCAACAGGCTCTGCACCGGCAACAAGTTTGAGAGAGTGAACGCAGTGAAGACATCATCGCGAGAAGGCGACAATGCTCGATGAATTTCCTGGTGAAGTCGAATAGCAGTGTCAGGCGTTCTGGTGCCGACTTCCACAGCTAAGCACCCGGCGACATCGCGATCGCTAGGCTGGGGAGACTGGCCGTGGCCATCGAATTGTACGAATGTGATGCCGCGAGTGCCACCACATTGTAGTCGTGCTGTGACGCACCTTCCGCATTGTGGCTTTCGTAGATCTCGTGACGTCAACACACGCGTCGGAATAGCGCAGGGGTAAACAGGGCAAACCTACCACATTTGACGCGTCGACTTTTGCAGTTATCGCACGCTCTGGACCGCCCGCCAACTCCGACCATGTGAAAGATGCATGCTAAGATGGATGAGATGAGGAAGATACAAGACTGCGGGAGATGACGAGTCACCGTCAGCATGGCGCGTGCGCGGCGCTATATTCGGCCCTCATCTCACAAGGATGCGCCTGTGAAGACGCACATAAATTCAACGATCGATCAAGGGGTAGCTTTAAACTTTATATCCTCCATGATGTTAACTTCAGTCTTTGTTCGTACTACGTACATCGAGACGTGAGCAGATGCCACTTCCGCACAGGCAAGACCTCAAGCTTTCAGATCTTCAGGTCGTGGTGAACATGATCAACCCTGAGAGCCCTAAAATATACCTTCGCGCCGCAGCAAACCTTGCCGAACTTCTTGTTTCCACTGCAGCCCCTTAATTGTTTCCAAGCCTTCTACAAAGTCATATCCAATTGTCCATAAGTCGCCGTTACGCCTGTCATCAGGTTTTTGTATCCAAATCGCTTTGAGAGCCCTCTGGCCATGGATTGCGAATGCAATGTCCCAAGTACACCATTCAAGTTTTTCAGTGGTACCTCGAAAATTGAGGGTGAGGCGATCACATCGTTGAATCCAGGTGAGTTCCGCCGGGTCGTAATTGTCCCTAAAGAAAAGCTCCAGGCACATTACGCGGGTACTTTGAAGGTGGTCCAGCGGACAATCCACATGGGTAGAGAGGTTGATTGTCGACCATGGTAGGTGCAATACCTGCTGGAGAGCTGCTACGCATCGTTTCAATGAAGCCCGGTTAAGGCTACCCTGGAGCCATGATCCTGAAATCGGCATGCTAATGTTGCCTTCGCCAGCTCCTCCTGCCAAAATCGAGGCTGGTGATGACTCGATCTTCAAACAACGGCCGTATGGATGCTCATCTTGCCACTTTCGAGTAGCAAGGATTAGAGGTTTAACTTTAGCTATATCGTCCTCCATTTCGTTGTACGTAGTACGGCAACTAAAGAAAAGGCCGGAGATATCTTGTGGACGTCCAGGAGTGATGCTGTCGACAATAAGGTGCCTATAGACCTCGATTCGAAGCTCTGTTGGAAGGGTGAGAATCATGTTCTGTATAATGCGTGGGTTGTTTAGATACCAAGGTGAGGGGAAGTGATCGTTACAGTTAATGCTTCCTGCTCTTATATATCGGAGCATCGAATGCAAGGAATCAACTTCGCTTAAGAGCACGGATTCATCTCCTGCTGAGTCAATGACGTTGTGAGGTGATTCATTGTGTAGGAAGTGAGAACAAACGGGTTGGATGATGATTTGTGCAAATTTACGTAGATTAGAACGGAACAGATTATACAGGGTTGAATGCATGAGCTTTGCGACCCTACTTTGCATCAGTACGCCACTATGACGATGTAACAATATAGCAACATACACTCCGAAAGGCCGGTACGCAATCCTCATCTAACCCCGCGAACTCAGTCGACATAAACCCCTCAAATAGCACTACCCCTGATAAACCAATCTATACGCTCATGCCTCCACCCCGGCAGCTTCAATCCGCCCCTAAAATCCACTCCCCACAGTCTCTTCGTCTGTCCCTCAACAAGAAAGCACCAGGGACCATAAAAAGCACCGGAGGCAGGAAGATACACGCCCCCATACTGCTTCCCGTGCACAATCTTCACAGTGTATCTATCCTCCACGTGGGAATCTTTCTGAAAGGTTAAACGGTCAATGTATCTCTTTTGCCTTGCCTTCTCCAGAAACTCTTTTCCCCATATCTGGTAGAAGGCGCGGAAGAAGAAATCGCTAGACGCGAGGAGTTGTTTATTGGTATATCGACGTTCCACTCCGAAACCGAAAGGGCAGAGGAGGAGACGAAGGCCGAAGACCGCCAAGTCTTCCGTGCGACGCAGCATGTTGTGCTTAGCCCTTTGAACGGGATTTCTGCGTTTGCGATCGCGCGGTGCGGTGATGGCGAACTCGGTGAGCGGGTTAATGTACGTGTGTGTTGATGGGATTTGGAAGCATAGTCGTCCTCTGACTTCGCCTCTGAGCCGTCTAGAATGATCCCAGGCGCGCTTCAGGTCGAGGGCTACTTGGACTGTTGAGACGAGTGGCTTCATTTCCGAATAGGTTGTGCGGGAAGCTAGGTATAGAGCACCGACATCGGGGGTGCGTCCATTTTCCAGGGTTTCGGTGAGAAGATTGCTATAGATCTGAAGTCGTAGTTCTGCTGGTAGCGTGAGGAATGGGGAAGGCTTGTCTTTGGCCATGGCGCTGAATTCCGGTCTGTGGTGAGTTGAGAGGTCTCTGTCGGGAAATTGGCGGTCTGTTGAAGATGAAAGTAGAGTAGAGTTTGCGAAGTTTGGTAATCCAGCGAGCAAATACGCTGCAGCGCTAGCGAGGTACAAGATGAGCAGGCGACGGTGAAAGGCTGAATTTGTCAACTTGTTATGGAGCGGTGACAATGCCGCCTTGCCGAATCTTGTTTCTGTCCTCTTCCCATTCACTTGGAATGTTTGTACCTAAATTCCAACGTTGTCCAAAGGCATTTAGTGCCCTCAACTGCGCCTATCGAACTGGGAGGTGCTCCATGATTACTCAAGTCTATCATCAAACGACCGACATTTTTCAGGTGGCACTGCTCTGCTTCCATCAACATTTGACGTATCAAATGGAAAAAGCAGCTGACTCGGCGGATATTAGCACGCCATGATTCGTTCATGTCTGGGAGGGAATAGTAGAATCCAAGGGTGAGGGATCGTAGCTGGGTGGGAGCGGCGTGAAGAAGTGAAATGCACATGTCATTAAAGACACGGCGGGCTCCCCAATGCTCGATAATCTTGCTGACAGGTATCAGCAGCGTGGCGTCTTCTGGCGGCGTGGTGAACTCGTAGGTCGAAGGAAGATATGCGTGTAGTGAATCCATCGATTCGGTATTTCGTATCCAGTAGTGTTGAAGTTTGATGAAAGACAGAATTCTGTCAATATACTCTGCCATCTCATCGTGGATCTTGGTGCAGGACCGTAATAGTCCTCCCGCGTGATGTGGATAGCCGTCGGCAAGACATGCAGCTATAAGCCGCTTGTATACTTCCAAGCGCAGCTCAGTTGGGAGAGTGAGGAAGCCTCGGTGTTGAGTGTTGGCCATCTTGTAGTAGTTGAAGGCAAGAGCGCAATTGAGGGTGGAACTGAGATGGATGAAGTGGCGAAGTGGTGTGGCGTATTGAACACCGAGCGTCGTGGGACGAGAGTGTGGCGATGGCGATGGCGATGGCGATGGCTGTAGATGATAGTATAAAGCTGTGTAGCTAGGATCTTTATCGTAGTAGAAAGAATGCTTATATCGTAACATGCCACGGCTTTACCAAGAATCTTTTCGGCTCACAGATCGAACCATGGTTGCGTCCGAATACCCATTAGCGTTCCATGGTCCATCACCAATCTGCGAATCATCAGCTCAAGGCAGACGCAGTGATGCGCAATCCTAGCCGCACGCAAGAACACCAAAGTAGTACCACGCCACACATTGAACAGTAATCCTTATACATTTCAAAAAAAGATGCCATCTATATCTAACCACGCCTCTCAGGCGATTCAGAAAGATCTATCAACAAGCTGACAATGAGTGTCAAAACCACTGATGCCGTAAATAGTCTGCCAACAGCGCCAAAATATATGTCCAGCAAATGCTTGTATCCCCTAAGATAACAAAAATTGTACCCAGCAGACATCTTCAGGTCTGGTAACGAAACGAAACGAAGAGGGAGAAAGAGGAAACAGGTATCAGTTGAGAAGGTCAAAGGAAAAAAGAGTACAAAGCATGCTTATGCTCCGCCCATGCTTTTGGTAGAGAAGGCAAAAGTGGCAAATAGGATAGCGCTCAATCCCTTTCTGCTATACACACAGATAAATGCTGGTGTTCAGATAATATTCGTGTCAACACGGCGCTGCGGTGGTCGTTGGTCGTATGAGACCTGGTATTGCGTTCCGTTCCATTCCGGTCATCTCGTTCAAGGCTTTTCCTTGTACTTGGCCATCCTCTTTACGGGATGGAGTAGCATACCTGGTATGCACATCCTCTTCTGCTCCAGCTCGCCGTCGGAGCCTGGTCCACCGTCGATCTTTTCTGACTCTCCCCAGTTTTGTTGGACAATGGGCCAGTTGAGCCATCGTCGGTATAGGTTACGTGGGAAGCGTGATGCGTAGTACCAGCTCCAACCTTGGAA